GAAGACTGTTCATTAAGCATAGTGAATGTTCACTTTGTGCATGGAATGTTCACTAACTAGTGAATAAGCTGCTGTGCACTTGTAATACCCAATCATGTGCAAGCAAAATTTAAAAAAATAAAAGTTTTTTTCTTGTAAATGATTGGATGATTAAAGTTAATTACTTTAATTACTACACTAAATGAACAGTAAATCATCCCCATTGTTTTACCGTTTTCAGACAAGCAGCCCTGGTAGAGATTTGTGAACTTCAGTGGAAAGTATAAGTGACCTTTGCTATACTCTATTTGCTTGTATACTGCAGCTGTTAACTCATCAGGGACATAGCTGAGCAGAGAAAGGGATGCCCTCTAGCGGTACATTTGTGTAATTGCCGCTTCACCAAATTAACGACATCGATGACATACTACCAAAGAAACCTAAACAAGGGATTGATGGTAAAATGAAACAGAGAGATGTAACTATATCATAATATAATAGAATCACTTTATTTTAGGGTAACATACTTGTTGATAAAATAGTTTTATTGTTTTAACATAAAGCAGCCTTTCTGCACAGAATATAATTCCAAGGTATGAAAGGTACAAATCTGGAGATCTCCCAAAGTAACCATTTATTACTATTAAACACAAAAACTAAGACAATTATCATATGCAGAATGTTATAGTACACTATTAGATATAAAACAAGAGTCCCCATTACTGTGAGTCGCTGTCAGGTGGCATCACTTCATATACTCTTTATAATTAGGGATTTTCTCTTTACCATAATAAATAGTCTTGATTGGTTGTTATGAAAACTGAACTGACAGGGACCAGTGTGGCCAGCTTCCATCACCATCTGTTTTATTGCTGGGACACATTCAATCTGTATATAAATACTGCAGATGTGTTTGTCTCAGCAGCTGTACAGAATCCTCAGCACAGTCTATGAGACGCACATGACTGGTATCTATGACTGATTGAAGATCAGAAGAGGTGACAGTAGTGAGCCCACGTACAGAGCCCATTCTAGTTCCAGCAGTAGGACCAGAGGACCAAGGGCCATAAGGTATCCTCAGGGCCACCCTTTCCCATATGAATACCCGTCTGTATGAATGAATTATTATCTCTTCCATTCATGACCTGAAATACTACAAGCAAGAGGACTCTATGGGCCTGCAGAAAAGCTGCTGAATTCTTTATCGGTCTCCTGTCAGGAGGCAGCAAACCATTTGTCTTTTGTTGGGATGCAGAGAATTAATTAATATGAAATGCAAACTTTTTAATTGAGTGTCAAACGGAATCAGATGAGATGGGACCCTCTGTGGATGGAGTCTTCTCCTCAAGCATCTCATCTCTCACTGGAAAATGATAAATTCGGATACTTAATTTATTGATCGGGGCTCCTCTGCTTGCTGGATTTATTTTATAGCTCATTAATCAAAGGAGAAAAAACGTCCCCAGGTCTCCCCTTTTATTGCTACCTTTAATACACTTCCACTCCTTGTTTCTGCACAACCAGATTTCCGCCTTGTTTCCCTAATCGATTGGCCTGCGATAATTATTTCTGATCGTCTATATGAGCTTATGTAATCACATATCTGGCCCGTAACCCATGGCAACCGAGCAGGCATTAAATAATCAGATCATCGATTTCTGATTAACTGCTATGGGTGTATGACTGATGTGCTGATACCACAATCACTGGATTCACATTACAATGGCCACATAAATTGGATATGAAAGCGGTATAATGATATGAGGGTCCTAACAAGACCCAGATGTGCTTCAGAACAGAGGTAGAAACCAGTGCAGAGCCCTCAATACACTGCTGCATTAGTATTATTATCATTATTATTATCATTATTATTTCACTATTATTATTATTGTTATTATTATTACCCCCACCATCATCATTCTATTATCTACCAACCATAACATTAGTCGTTCAATATACAAGCCATTTGTGTAAAAAAAATAATAATACATTTTTGTCTGTGTATTATAAAAATAGCAATAGAGTTTTTAAAGCGATAAACACAAATTATGTATTTATAAGTAAATGCATTTTAAGAAACATAAACTACAATTAAAAAGAAAACAAACAAGACAAGTGCCTGGTAAAAAGATAGCACATTTCATTACTATGTGGTACTGACTGCTGTATACAAAGTATTTTATTATAAATATATGCACAGATAAAATGTTCTAGCCTACCATCTGTAGGATTCTGTTGGCTTGATTGGGCAGGATTTGAGACCCTACTGAGGGTGGTTAAAGATAAATATATTATCAATGTTACTTGAAGAGAAGTTATTAGCTCAGGTCCTTCTATTCCTGGCTGTCAGGGTTTCTTTGGTCATAGGTGCTATCACTGTCCATGCACTGAAGAAGAATTATGCCCCTGTCACCAGGAAGCCATTCCTACTGTTTAGGGTCACATGAAGTCCTGTACAGACAACACAGACAGTCAGACACACACACAAGGTTGGAGCTCTGCTACAAGGGGTCAGTTTTGCCTATAGAACTACAAAACCAGCCAACTTAATAAAGGAGTCATCATCCTACACTTATGTGCTCCAGGCTAATCACATCACACAATGGCCCCATGTGTAGTCTGAAGGCTTTGTTTATCAAAGTGACTCTAGTACAAATGTCTCTACTGCCCCAAATTTACCATTCAAATCTGCAATGTAATATAAAAGTTGGAGAAGGGATGTTTGGATTTGATTGGAAGAATGCAAACAGTCCTTGTATAAAAAGGGTTGATAAATATGGTCTAAATTCTGAATCAAAGCATGAAAGAGAAATATTAATGTGTTAGGACTATGTTTATGTGGCAACCAGCGGCTGTCGACTAGCTGAGGAACCACAACTCTCAGCAGGATGGCGTAATGCTGATGGAGGGGTTTATAACAAAAATAAACCAAACTTGTCCTGAGAATATAAAGTGGGAAATTGCTACTTTTTTTGTGGATAAAGGCTTTTTTTGTTTACTATAATTTTCTTGTATCAGTTTATGTAATATTCGTAGCTCTACTTGCTATAAGAAAATGTTATTTAGTTTGGACAGCAATAGACGCCTGTACATTCTATACCATGCCTTCCCTTTTTATTCTTTATTTTTAGCAGAAACTATACAGGGAAGGAATTGCTAAGTATCTAAAATTCGCCAAACCCACTCTTGGAATATGAGACAAGTTTTTCTAAGGAAATCATAAGATTGATGGCAGAAGGGACACACTTGTGATGTATGTAAAGCCTTGTTCAGCCCATATACTAATTCACTTAACACATATTGGTGATAGACGATCGTGTAGTTGCTAGACCTGTGATCAAAGGTTATGTTATACTGTAGCCTAATGAGAAATCACTAGACTTCTGGAGGGATGACGCAAATTACCAGGGCGCTGACAGGAAGCACAGTTTAAACAATAGCTATTTACACATTAATTCAAGACAAATAATAATTGCATAGCCCAATAACTGCATGGCTTAGCAGTATTCTAATTCAAGACGAATAATGATCGTTACATAGCCTATTAAGTGCATGGCTTGGCTATATTCTAAAGCAAGAAAATTCATAATTGCACATCCCAATAAGTGCATGACTTGGCTATATTCTAATGCAAGAAAATTCATAATTACACATCCTAATAAGTGCATAGCTTGGCTATATTCTAATGCAAGAAAATGAATAATAATTATTCTAATATGTGCAGTTCCTAGTTATCTTCTAATGCAAGACAATTAATAATGACATATTCTAAGTTCAGAGCATAGCTATATTATAATTCAAGAAAATAATAAGTACACGTTGTAATACATGCATGGGTTAGCTATATCCAATTCAAGAAAATTAATGATTACATACCCTAATATTACATATATCCAATTCAAGAAAATTAATAATTACATACCCTAATAAGTACATGGCTTAGCTTTATTCTAGTGAAAGACCATTGATAATTATATATCTTAATAAGTAGATGGCTTAGCTTTATTATAATGCAAGACCATTAATAATTATATATCTTAATAAGTACATGGCTTAGCTATATTCTAATTCAAGACCATTAATAAGTCTATACCCTAAGAGGTGCATGACGTAGCTATATTCTAATTGAAGACCATTCATAATGATACCCTATTAGGTGCATGGCTTAGCTATATTCTAATTCAAGACCATCAATAATTATATACCCTAATAGGTGCATGGCCTAACTATATTCCAATTCAAGACCATTAATAATCATACACCCTAATAAGTGCATGGCTTAGCTATATTCTAATTCAAGACCAATAATAATCATAAAATCTAATAAGTGCTTGGCTAAACCATATTCTAATTCAAGAACATTAATATACTTATATACCCTAATAGGTGCATGACTTAGCTGTATTCAATTCCAATCGTGCTCCAATCTTGCTAGGAAAGATCCATATTTCTAAAACAAAAAATAAAATATTCATAAATAGTTCTGATATGATAAATACAATGTTTTTAATAATGTTTTATTTCGATTAAACGAGGCCAATACCTACTAAACATTAGCTGAAATACTTCAGTAAAACATTCGATGTCCCAGCAGTAAGCCCAATAACAGACAATATACAATGTATACATGATATAAAAATACAATGCAGGATATAGCACGATGCAGAGATATCTGCAGGTGTTAGATGCATATAAGCCATTTACCTACACTCCATCTGTTGCTTGCAGTAAGATAACATGTTGTACAGTATACATGTGATTATAGGAGAGCACAGCCCTCAGTGCTGCAGCATATAGGCACGTCACTCTGAAATAAGACATCCATTGAGCTGTGGAGCTTGCAATCTGCATGCATTACCTGGCTGGGGCTGAGTGTCAGGATGAAGGGTTAATCTCCCTCCTGAGTGGAGTGCTGTAGACACTCGTGTTTGGTGCAGCCCACGTGTACAGCAGGAGTGTGCCAGAGAGCAGCTGAGCCCAGCACACACAGCAGTGTGATCACAGCCAGGCAGCTCACACAGCACACAGCTCTCCTCGTCCTGGCTATCCCCGGCACCGAGCTGGACTTCATCACCCTCCTCGGAGACATCGCTTGGAGGGATCACACACAGGTAAGACTCTGCTCTTCTATCTGCATCCTCATCGCACAGTGCATAGCATGCGTTGCCATTGACTTCAGCTGGTGTGCAGGGTTTGCTCACTTTTCTTCTTTTGCCTTCATTCCTTATCAAAGTTTACGTGCATGAGTATGGGAAATGTTAGACAGCAGCATAGAGGCTTTGTGTGGGGAGCAGTACTGGGCAGTACTAAGTACAGTCTGCAACAGATTGTCATTACATGCACATGTTAGTCTATAGGCTTTACATTGTGTCCATTGCAGAGATGCCACTATAGAAGGAGATCTAGGCTGTATATTGCGATCAGTCAGTAAAGACAGAGATCTAGTCTGTATGTTGTGCCCAGTCAGTATGGAAAGTGGTCCAGGCTATATACATTGTGCCCATTGCAGGACAGTCAATATAGAAGGAGATCTATACTGTATACATTGAGCCCATTGCAGGGCAGACACTATAGAAATAGATCTAGGTTGTACATTGTGCCCAGTCAGTATGGAATGAGGTCTAGGCTATATATATTGTGTCCATTGCAGGACAGTCAATATAGAATGACATCTAGGCAGTACATTGTGCCCATTGTAGGGCAGCCAGTATAGGATGAGATCTAGGGTGTACATTGTGCCCAGTCAGTATGGGATGGGAGCTAGGCTATTCACACTGTACCAGTTGCAGGTCTGTCAATACAGAATGCGATCTAGGCTATATTCATTGTGCTCATTGTAGGGCAGCCAGCAGTTTGTGACGCGATACATTGTCCCACTACAAGTCAGTCAGCATAGAATGCGATCTAGGCTATGTACATTGTGCCCATTGCAGGTCAGCCAGTATAGGATAAGATCTAGGTTATGTATATTGAGCCCATTCAAGCACAGTCAGTGCAGGATAAGCTCTAGGCTATATACGTTGTGCCCAATTCAGGGCAGTAAGTATAGAATATGATATAAGCTATATAGTATATATAGCTTATATCATATTCTATACTGACTTTCCTGCACTGGGCACAAAGTATGCACTGTATGCAATGTATGCACTGGGCTTCTATCATATTCTATACTGACTGCCCCGCACTGGGCACAATGTACATATAGCTTATATCATATTCTATATTGACTTTTCTGCACTGGGCACAATGTATATAGCCTAGAGCTTATCCCGCACTGACTGTGCTTCAATGGGCTCAATGTATATAACCTAGATCTCATCCTATACTGGCTGCCCTGCATTGGGCACAATATAAATATACATTTGTGCCCAGCGCAGGAAAGTCAGTATAGAATATGACATAAGCTATATACTTTGTGCCCAGCGCAGGAAAGTCAGTGTAGAATATGATATATAAGCTATATATACACTTTGTGCCCAGTGCAGGAAAGTCAGTGTAGAATATGATATATAAGCTATATATACTTTGTGCCCAGTGCAGTCATTATAGAATATGATATAAGCTACATACACTTTGTGCCCAGTGCAGGGCAGTCACTATAGAATGCAATATTATCTATATATACATTGTGCCCAGTGCAGGAAAGTCAGTATAGAATATGATATAAGCTATATACATTGTGCCCAGTGCAGGAAAGTCAGTGTAGAATGAGATCGAAGCTATATATGTTGTGCCCATTGCCGGGCAGTTATTATAGGCTGTCTAATAAAGAAGGGAATATGGCTTCATTGAGCATCATATATTACACCATGTATACCTATGAGTATATTGTCCTGATGAGCCCTGTTTGATGGTTGTATTGTCTGCAGGTCCTGACCATGCTGAAGCCCGGGGAGGCTGCTGGATCTGCCTTCCTCAAGGTGGACCCGGTGTACCTCCAGCACTGGCAGCAACTATTCCCCCAGACTCATGTCAAGGCTGGAGTTCCGAACCATGTTCCTCTTCCTGAGCCTCCAACTGAAAGCCTCCGCCTGAGACCAGCCTCCCTGTCCTCCACCTCCTCTACTTCCTCTACCCCGACATCAGCACCCTCTGCCCCCTCATCACTGGCCGGAATCACTCCAATACATACAGTCATAGGACCAGCACCCAGCCTGGAGCTGCCAGGCCCTCCAAGGAAAGACCTGGTGCGCCCAAGCTGTCAGGAGGGAGCCTCTAGCCGCTTCCAGTGCACCCCTGAGGAGTTGGACTATTATCTATATGGCCAGCAAAGGATGGAGATCATTCCTCTGAGCAACCCCACCAGTGACCCCAATAACAGTAAGTACCCATGCAGGAAATATCCAGCGCATAACACACCTACTACACTGTGCAAAGTGAGGGGGG